TCGCGTTTCTTTCTGCTTGGTGAAACTGTTGTGTTTTTGAAATTTTCCCCCTATATATTTATATTGCTCTTGTATAGTTGAAAAGTCTCCCTTGCAGGGTCGGGTGGCGGCTGTGCTCCTCCTCCAATTGGGATGATCTGTCTACCATGCTGACGGGCCGCTGGGCCTGTTTTGCCAGTCGGTCACAGGTCTGCCTACCTTGCAGGCGTGGGCGGCGGCTCTGCTCTGCCCCTCCTCCAATTGGTGTGACGCGTCTACCACGCCCGGGGACCCCTGGGCCTGTTCTGCCGGTCAGTCCCAGTTCTGCCTACCTTGCAGGCGCAGGCAGCGGCTCTGCTCTGCCCTTACTCCAATTGGGGTGACGTGTCTACCACGCCGGCAGGTCGCTGGGCTTATTCTGGGTGCGGGAGGTGGCTCTGCTCTGCCCCTACTCCAATTGGGGTGACGTGACTACCACGCCGGCGGGCCACTGGGCCTGATCCGCCGGTCTGTAGCAGGTCTGCCTACGTTGCAGGCGTGGGCGGCGGCTCTGCCCTTCCCCTCCTACCACGCCCGCGGGCCGCTGGGCCTGTTCTGCCGGTCGGTCACAGGTCTGCCTACTTTGCAGGCGCGGGTGGCAGCTCTGCTCTGCCCCTACTCCAATTGGGGTGACGTGACTACCATGCCGGCGGGCCGCTGGGCCTGTTCTGGGTGCGGGCAAAGGCTCTGCTCTGCCCCTCTGGCTTGATGAACAAAGTGAGAGAGACTCCGGTGTTTGTGACTCACTTTCTTTACCAGGAGACCAACTGTTTCTGTTGCCGCTGGTATCGATGAAGTTCTCTCCTCGGGCTGCTTTCTGATGACATCAGATCTCTGCCATGTTGGTATCCCATGCGAATGGCAGCATTTCATTCCCTCCGCGGTATTCAGCAGGGTGGCGGCTCTGCTCAGCCCCTACTCCAATTGGGGTGTCGTGACTACCACACCGACAGGTCGCTGGGCCTGTTCCGGCCGCGGGCGAAGGCTCTGCTCTGCCCCTACTCCAATTGGGGTGACGTGTGTACCATGCCGGCAGGCCGCTGGACCTGATCCGCCTGTCGGTTGCAGGTCTGCCTACCTTGCGGGCGTGGGTGGCGGCTCTGCTCTGCCCCTACTCCAATTGGGGTGACGTGTCTACCACGCCGGCTGGCCGCTGGGCCTGTTCCGCTGGTCGGTCGCAGGTCTGCCTACCTTGCGGGCGCGGGTGGCGGCTCTGCTCTGCCCCTACTCCAATTGGGGTAACGTGACTACCACACCGGCGGGCCGCTGGGCCTGTTCCGGGTGCGGGCGAAGGCTCTGCTCTGCCCCTACTCCAATTGGGGTGACGTGTGTACCACGCCGGCAGGCCGCTGGGCCTGATCCGCCGGTCGGTCACAGGTCTCGCGTATTGATTTTATATCCTGCTACTTTGCTGAATTCATTTATTAGCTCTAGTAGTTTCTTTGTAGACCCTTTTGTATCTTCTATGTATAGGATCATATCATCCGCAAATAGTGATAATTTAAGTTCTTCTTTTCCTATTTTTATGCCTTTAATTTCTTTCGTCTGTCTAATTGCTCTGGCCAGTATTTCGAGAACTATATTGAATAGAAGTGGTGAGAGAGGGCATCCCTGTCTTGTTCCAGATTTTAGAGGGAATGCCTTCAGTTTTTCTCCATTTAGAATGATGCTAGCCTGAGGCTTAGCATATATAGCTTTTACAATGTTGAGGTAAGTTCCTATTATCCCTAGTTTTTCTAGTGTTTTGAACATAAAGGGATGCTGTACTTTGTCGAATGCTTTTTCTGCGTCTATCGAGATGATCATATGGTTCTTACCTTTAAGTCTATTGATGTGGTGAATAACGTTTATTGATTTCCGAATATTGAACCAGCCTTGCATCCCAGGGATGAATCCTACTTGATCATGGTGCACCATCTTTTTGATATGTTTTTGTATCTGATTTGCCAGAATTTTATTGAGGATTTTTGCATCTAAATTCATTAGGGATATTGGTCTGTAGTTTTCTTTCTTTGAGGTGTCTTTATCTGGTTTGGGAATCAGGGTGATATTGGCCTCATAGAATGAATTTGGAAGTTCTCCCTCTTTTTTTTATCTCCTGAAATAGATTGTAGAGTATTGGTATTAGTTCTTCTTTAAAGATCTTGTAAAACTCTGCTGTATATCCGTCTGGTCCTGGGCTTTTCTTGGTTGGTAGTCTTTTGATGGCTTCTTCTATTTCCTCACTTGATATTGGTCTGTTTAGGTTGTTTATATCATCCTGACTCAATCTGGGTAGTTCATATGTCTTAAGGAATTTATCGATGCCTTCACTATCTTCTATTTTATTAGAGTATAGGGTTTCAAAATAATTTCTAATTATCTTCTGTATTTCTGAATTGTCTGTTGTGATGTTGCCTTTTTCATCCCATAAGCTAATAATTTGGGTTCTCTCTCTTCTTCTCTTTGTTAGCGTGGCTAGTGGTCTATCAATCTTATTTATTTTTTCAAAGAACCAACTTTTAGTTTTGTCAATTTTTTCGATTTTTTTTGTTTCGATTTCATTGATTTCAGCTCTAATTTTAATTATTTCTTGCCTTCTACTGTATTTGCTGCTGATTTGTTCTTTTTCTAAGGCTTCGAGGTGTAGTGTGAGGTCATTTATTTGTTGGCTTTTCCTTCTTTTAAGGCATGAACTCCATGGAATTTTCCTCTTAGTACTGATTTCATAGTGTCCCAGAGATTTCGATATGTTGTGTCTGAGTTTTCATTTACCTCTAAGAATTTTTTAATTTCCTCTTTGATGTCTTCTGTAACCTTTTTTTCATTCAGTAGCATATTGTTTAATCTCCATGTGATGTAGGATTTTTCCTTTCCCATATTTTTATTGATTTCCAATTTCATTCCATTATGATCAGATAAAATGCATGGTAGTATCTCTACTCCTTTTTAATTGCTAAGATTTGCCCTGTGACATAATATATGGTCTATTTTTGAGAAGGATCCATGTGCTGCTGAGAAGAAGGTGTATCCTCTTGATGTTGGGTGGTATATTCTGTACATATCAATTAAGTCTAAATTATTAATTGTATTATTGAGCCTCTATGGTTTCTTTATTCAACTTTTGTTTGGAGGATCTCTCCAGTGGTAAGAGAGGTGTGTTAAAATCTCCCATGATTATTGTGTTGTGGTCTATTTGACTCTTGAACTTGAGAAGAGTTTGTTTGATGAACGTAGCTGCACCATTGTTTGGGGCATATATATTAATGATCATCAAGTCTTGTTGGTGTATGGTTCCCTTGAGCAGTATGTAGTGTCCTTGTTTATCCCTTTTGATTAACTTTGGCTTGAAGTCTATTTTATTTGATACAAGTATGGACACCCCTGCTTGCTTCCGGGGTCCCTATGAGTGATATGATTTTTCCCAACCTTTCACCTTCAGTCTGTGTATGTCTTTTCCTATCAGATGAGTCTCCTGTAGGCAGCATATTGTTGGATCTTTTTTTTTAATCCATTCGACTAGCCTATGCCTTTTGATTGTGCATTTAAGCCATTAACATTTAGGGTTACTCTTGAGATATGGTTTGTATTTCCAGCCATATTTGATTATGTATGTTACTTAACATGATTTGTTTTTCCTTTATGATTAGTTTTTTCTTTACTGTACTACCTCCCGCTGTTGGTTTTCATTGTTATTCTTCATTTCCTCTTCCTGTAATGTTTTGCCAAGGATGTTTTGAAGAGCTGGTTTTCTAGCTGCAAATTCTTTTAACTTTTGTTTATCGTGGAAGATTTTTATTTCATCTTCAATCCTGAAGCTTAATTTTGCTGGATACATGATTCTTGGTTGGAACCCTTTTTCCTTCAGTGTTTGAAATATGTTGTTCCAGGATCTTCTAGCTTTCAGAGTCTGTGTTGAAAGATCAGCAGTTATCCTGATTGGTTTACCCCTAAATGTAATCTGCTTCCTCTCTCTTGTGGCTTTTAAGGTTCTCTCCTTATTCTGTATGTTGGGCATCTTCATTATTATGTGTCTTGGTGTGGATCTCTTATGATTTTGTACATTCAGTGTCCTGTAGGCTTTCTAGTATTTGGATTTCTTTTTCATTCTTTAAGTCTGGAAAGTTTTCTATTATTATTTCATTGAATAGATTGCTCATTCCCTTGGTTTGGAACTCTATACCCTCTTGTATCCCAATAACTCTTAGGTTTGGTTTCTTTATGTTATCCCATAATTCTTGGATGTTCTGCTCATGATTTCTTAACATTCTCGCTGAGCTATCTATGTTCTTTTCAAGTTGAAAAACTTTGTCTTCATTGTCTGAAGTTCTATCTTCTAAGTGTTCTACTCTGCTGGTAATACTCTCATTTGAGTTTTTAACCCATTTGTATATTTTAACAGAAAATTATTAAATATTTTCCTCAACCTAAAGTGGGAAGAATTTCACATTCCAGGGAAGAGTAGGTATTACAAATCTGAATAGTATTTGCTACTTATTTGTGCACATAATTGACTCTGCATTTGTTTTATTAAACATTGATTTGTGTTGTTTTCTTAAGAATGTTCACTGAGGGGCTGGGGTTGTGGCTCAGCAGTAGAGTGCTCACCTAGCATGTGCAAGGCCCTGGGTTCAATCCTCAGCACCACATAAAAATAAAATAAAGATATTGTGCCCAACTACAACAAAAATAAATTAATAAATAAATAAATAATAAAGTTAAAAATATTTTAAAAAAAAGAATGTTCACTGACCAAATGTCATTCAAACACTTATTCAAATAAATTATCAGTGATGTAAAATTTTAAATATATCCTCCAAACAAAAAATACACTAACCCTTAGGTGTTATCTTTATTGATTTTATTCCTATCTTTAACTTTAAAATAAAATTAAAAGTCAAATACTCTGAGAACTGTACTACCAAAATATACATGACAACTATTTTATTTAACAAGAACTGAAGAAGAGCCTGGAGGAAGATTTACTAAAGGAAGCAGCAGACCTGTGAATATTCTCACTGTTCTAATTTTGTAATAATCAAGACAGGCTAAACATTTACTACATTAAGAACATACGTCCCAAGACCTAATTCTTTCCTCAGATCTGGTTTTATAAATGCTGGTGATATTCCAGATATGGTTTATTATAATCATTTTATAATGGCTTCAATAATAGGTTATCTTTGATTAACATTAAGAAAAATGATAATTCAGCTAGTGTAATAACTTGCAAATAATCAATGCTAATTTGTAGACTTGTCTAAAGAATGTGTAAACAAACTAGAGATTACCAGTTGCCCTTAAATGTATCGTAAAATTACAGTTTCTATTTTCTAATTGATTCTGATATCATTAGAAGCATACCAGAACAGACTGGTGAGAAGTAAACCATACAGAATTTTTCTTTAATAAAACTTTCCAGAGCTTGTTTTGAAAAGGCATTGGGGGCTGGGGGGGGAGCAGCAGAGAATTTATGAGAAGTTCTGTAATAATAGAAACCAATTAACCAATTCATGGAATAGAGTTCTAAGTCTGAGGCTTAAAATGATACAGTAAATATTCTTATGTGGAAAAATTTTAAAGTCAATAGCAGACTTTCCATAAAGCCTAGGACACACACACAAAAAAGTGGCTTTTTAAAATTTTTAATTAAACTCCTTTTCTAGAGAAAACCGTTTTTTTCTTTCATTACAGTAACTACCAACTTTTAATCAAAACCAAGTTTGGCAAATCAACATCAGTATATTTATCAGAAACTAGCAGAGCCAATTTTTTTTTAAAAAAATTAAACAAAAAGAAGTCCATTCAATAAAAGTAAATTTAAGAGTCACAAATCATCCAGTACTTACCCTTTAACCTGGAGGCATCACACATATTCTTCACTGTTTTTGTGAATTCATCAAATTGTACTTTGTCATCTGTGAGAAAAATATATTTAATAGATAAGCCTCACTAAACAAAAGCCAAATACAATAAAGCAATCTATAAAAATTTAAATCATTTGATGTACTCATAAGAACCATATTTCCTTTTCATATTTTTGAGTAACCAAAAGATTAATTTCATGGAATAATTAGCTTAACTTCTATGGTTTTAAGATATAAGTTCTCAATTACTATCAATTAAGAGAAATTATAGATATAATCCATATTCCTAAAATATAAATCTAAGATATACTCCTAGTCCAAACTAAAAGATAGACCTCAATCATAGTTTAGATCTTCAACTGTTCCAAGTTAAAAATTCTATGTCAGGTAAGTTTAAAGACTTCTGTCAGAGTGCCCAATGGTTCTATAACTATAATGTTTAAGAAGTAGTTATATCTATTATTTTTTATACAAGATCACACAAGTATGAGATTATAAAGTCAAAATGACAAACACAGGAAATAGAAGCAGCTCTGTTTTCCTAGTCAGAAACAAGGAAATAATTTATGATCACAAACTAGAACAAAGTACAGAGAGCAAGATGTATCCCCAGTGGATACAAAACAAAAAACAAAAAACCCTATATAGAGTTTAACTATACAGCTACGTTTTTTCTATCATGGCTTCTTATTTAACACTTGGGGCTTTTTTTAGGAATTATAATCTATAGTAAAATAGCATGTCTTTATTGCAGCATTTTTCCTGCTTCTGTCTTTTAGTAATGCCCCTACATCTCTCTAACTACAAACACTCTGCCCCTGAATCTATCAGTTTGTTCCAAGTAGTAGTAGTATAAAATTCTAATAGATCTTATAACATCTAATCATTCCCTCTGTGTTCACTGGGATATGCTATTTTTCAATAACATTCTTCCCAACTTGAAGGTACTCAAAGCATATTTGGTCAATTTAGAGAAGTAGTAAATTAGATATTAATATTTTTCTATATAACAAATAATCAACTTTATTTATATTTCCAAACTATATTTATTGGTTTTTCAAACCATGCTAGAAAATCCCTTGTAATACCTGAAATCATAAAATCACAAGATTAAAACAGGAGGAAAGGTTCATGACATTTAGTGTAGATAGAAATTTATTTGCTATGACCCCAAAAGAACAATCAATAAAGCAAAATTTGACAAATGGGATTGCCTAAAATTAAAAAGCTTCTTCAGAGCAAAGAAAACATTAAGAATAAGGAGGAAACCTATTGGTTGGGAGAAAAATATCTGAAAATCACATATCAGATAAGCAGCTAATATCTAAAATATATAGATAACTCAAATTAGTTAAGAGCAAGAAAACAATATTAAATAATGAACAAAGGACTCAAATAGATCTTTCTCAAAAGAAGATATACAAATGGCCTACAGACAAGAAAAAATGCTCAAAATCTCTAATCAGAGAAATGCAAATTCAAATCTCTATGAGATATCACCTGACATTTAAACTGGGTGTTATCAAAAACAGAAGATGAATAATATCTTTGAATATCTCAATTTTAGTATTTGGAATACCCACCATCAACAGCTGTGAATTTCAGAGCAGCTAGGAATTCATCTTTTTTTTAAATTACTATTCAGAATAGACAGAATGTTCCACAGGTCAGAGACATTCATTTGCTCCTTGCTGATATTATGGAGGTTCTCAATTATATCAGGCAATACTAACAGGAACATAAAAACACAAATTTTATAACATGCGTATTCACAAAGTTAATACAACAAACTTATTTGGAATAGTCAAGAATTAATGGTTTTGTGGTTAAAAACAATAACAAATATAGTATAACTGAACAGCCAGCTTTTAAGTAACAAAACACAATAAAATATTTAACCCAACTTAATATATCTTTGAGGATTCTGAAATATTTCAAGAACTAATAGGGCACCAGGCACAGTGGCACACACCTGTAATCCCAGAGGTTTGGAAGGCTGATGAAGGAGGATTATAAATTCACAGCCAGCCTCAGCAACTTAGTGAGATTCTAAGCAACTTAGAAAGACTGTCTCAAGATAATTTTTTAAAAAAAGGGCTGTGGATGTGTCTCAGTGATTAAGTGCCCCTGGTTCAATCACTGGTACCAAAAAGAAAAAGAAAAAGAAAAAAGAAGAAGAATTTATAGGGCCCTCATCCATGAAAAATTATAAAGAATAATTTCCCTTGAACTTTAGATTTACAAAAGTCTGAAGTCTGAACTCACAAACACTTCCTATTATTAAAATAATGAATTAAATAACTTTTGTCCTATATATTCTCCCCTGGCTCCTACTTTCTCTTTAATCTATCACCATAGACAATGGAAAGAAGTTTTGTTTATATCAGAATTTCAATAAAAATCACTGTTTTAAATAGGAGAATTAAGTTATCAAAATATCACTCTGCTGCTATATAGAGAGAATAGATTCTCTGGAAGATCAGACAGGAAAATACAGAGAAAAGGATGACAGTGGCTTTGACAAGGTTGACAGTGATGGAGCTATTAAGTGGAGAAATTCAGGAAGTATTTTGAGAATGAAGCAGAGAGTATTTAATGATGTATTGAACAAAAGGCTGAGGAGGGTGGGACCATGAAGAACTCCTAAGTTTCAGTCTTAAGCAACTGTATAGTGATGTCAAAGACAGGAAAGCCAAAGTTTATTGGCAAACACATTAAGTTTGAGATAAATCAGAAGTCAAGAATAGAGATAATACTTGAAGCAGTAAGACTACTCTAGAAGAATCTTAAGAGAATGGGAATCAGAGTGGAGGCTGGAATTATGCTAATACTTAAAATTCAGCCATAAATGCAGCAGCTAGCAAAAAGACCAAAAAGGAAAGGCTAATAAAGTGGGAGGAAAATTAGGAGATTAGAGTATTAGAAAACAAGAAAGATTTTCTAGAAGAAACATGCATCTAACCTAGAGTTTAAACAAGATGAATACAGAAAATTGAACACTGTATTTAGCAAAATCAGATTTAAGTTTTTGTAAAGTTAGTCTGGAAACCGATGTGATTCTGCAATCTGTATACGGGGTAAAAATGGGAGTTCATAATCCACTTGAATCAGATGTATGAAATATGATATGTCAAGAGTTTTGTAATGTTTTGAACAACTAATAAAATAAATTAGCTAAAAAAAAGTTAGTATGGAAAGATAAGGACAAGAACCTGAATTAGTGTTTTTAAAAGAAAGAAAAAAATTCGGGCTAAGAGTGTGACTCAAAGTGCTTGTTCAGCAACTGTGAAGCCTTGGTTTAAAACCTCAACCTTGGTTTAAAAAGTTGCCCAAGAAAGAACTGGCAATATAGTACAATAAGAATAGCCAGATTCACTTTCATTTTCACCACAAAACAATTTCTATTCCAAATTTTAAAATACCAATAAAAACATTTGGTGATTGTCAGATATGGTGACACATGCCTATTGTCCCAGAACTTCAGAGAACAAGGAAGGAAGATAGCTTGAATCCAGAAGTTCAAGACCAGCCTGGGCAGCTGAGCAAGACCCCCCATCTCAAAAAACCAAAAATTTTGGTAATGTAGTAGATGAGCAGAGTAAGAGCACTGGAGCTAGGGCCATGTGGAATGAAAGGGATTTTAAAAGACTCTTAAATTATAGGCCCAAGTCCCTGGATACTAAACTACTAAGAAGGGGAATCAATGCCAAAAATAAGAATGAACATTAACTGTGTATGTGCCTGAGCTGATGCCGCAGCAGTCAGATGGCATAAATTGGAAGTTAAGAAGATAAGCTCTACCTGAGTTCTAATCTTAATGCTACTACTCAGCTGTGTGATATTAGGGTTTTTTATAAAACCTCCCTGCCTTGTTTCTCATCTAAAAACTTGATAGAGTTGATATGAGAATTCATGAAGTTATATTTAAAATTATAGGATACTACTGGTACATTATAAGCACTCAATAAATGTGAGTAACATAATAGAGATCATCACAATCATCATGTAGTACAACTAAGTCTAAAGTTGTAATTGAGATGTCTACATAAAGTCCGGACCCTAGGAAGTCTTCCCATCTGAAAATTAGGACTAAAACAATTTGGTCACCTTTTTAAGAACTTAAGAAAAAAAGTCTGATCTTTGCCTAAGGTCTAGATGGGGGAATTTTTTTCCTATGATAAACTAAATCCCAAGACTACCATCTGAGAATATCACATTTCAAATCACACAATACACACGTGTCCTGGCTTTATGTAGACATCTC